CATGGTCTTATATTGCTTCAGAAGTGCCTCTCATCTCATGTTTTAACCTGGAAGCTGACATCAGCCAGCAGACAAGATGACAATTCTAAGACTTTTCAGCAGTGGACATAGAGTTCCTCAGAAAGAGGAACAAACTCTTTCGTCTGGCTTACACTACCTGAAATTATATATATTCAGAACATATTGGAAAGCTTGTTTACTTAGTCATCTTCTAGGTAGATGACTGGATTGAGCAGAAGAGATCTGTTCTGACAGGATAGAGAGTATTTTAGTTTGACACTGCATTAGAATTTATTATAAAACACAGTTTAAATTGTTCCTGGCCTTAGACAGTAAATCTGGTGTCAAAAGACTCTTAAAGTTTTTTTAAAAATCCTGATCAGGCAAGCATTTTTCAGAATACAGGATACAACTTATTCTATATTATCTATGCTAACACTGAAGAGCTGTAGCTTGCTTTGGAGTGTGTGAATTGATCTGGTATTTAAAAAGACATCTAAATTCTTTCCAAAAAAGAAAGCAATTCATATAATATAAAACACATCGTTCTTTGGACAAGGAAATACACAAGAGAATGACTAGTAAAAAGAAATTTGAATGAGTATAGTACACAGTACCTTTAATAAATTTAACATCTGAATCTCTAAATTTAAGGTTACTAAGAAGAGAAAACATCTGTAGAAAATTAGCTTACGTAAAATGATGAAGTATTTAAAGGGCACTTGTCAAGGGTTTTAAGATCATAATATATTTTGAGTCTAAATTTGGTATGATTAGATCAAAGGAGTCTTCTAGATTTTATGAAGACCTAGAATTAAAAAAAAAACCAACAACTCACTGTGGGGATTTAAAAATCCTCCGTTGTGAAGGACTATGTAAAATTAGTATGATAACAGCGATTGTTATTGTATATTTTATCTCTGCGCCCCTCACGTGTCATGATGCCCTTGCCTCCTCTCATGACTTTGTAACACATATTCATGAACAAATACCCCTAGGGGTAACGAGGGCACTATGATGGATTACAACACTATACCCACTTTTATTCTACAGCAATGCCAGTTCCACCCAAACAGAACAAAACAACAAATTATTGGTCAAGTTTGGCCCTGATCCTTTAAGTATCTGCACCTGTATTTATTTATGCAAGTACCTTAGTAAGAATATTCACGTCTAGAGATAAGCAAATACAATAATGATTGAAGTTGCAGGGCCAGAGTTAGTAAATAAAAATATGTTTGATCTCCTGTACATTACAATTAGGTTGTTGTTGCTATTATTTCTGGCTTTAGTTTAGAATTAAAACATAAGGTTAATTTTAGACAGTCAAGTTCAAAGGACCCCCCCCACCCCCCCCCCACTCCCCCACGTAAAAAATAA